TATGCCTGGTTCTGGAACTATCTATTGGATCAACGTTTGCCTGTTGATATTCAATGCACCTAAAGAGTAAACGACAAAATCATAAAATCAACCAGGCAATTGAGTTACCATTATTTGTATCGCATCCAAATAAATACTTACCTCGAGCGGATAAGGTGGCTACCTCCGGCCGAGGAAGCCTGGGCTGAATCAAATCGCTTTCTGTCTTGAAGTGGCTTTCGATGGATCTCTTGAAAGGTAATGCTGGAGGTTAGTTTAATTTGGCATTTAAGTGTCATGTGATAAGATTCACACATTAATCTAATCAGGCCACGCAGGCAAATACTCTTTCGTCCCCCAATGCCTGGCCGTGCCCCAAATATTGGCTTTGTGCCGTCCTCGAAACGCCGTGCTTCTTTTTCGGTGAACATGTTTTTGGCTTTCCTCTCTCAGATGGCATACAACGTTAGACCAGGATGTGATTCCATTGAAACCTTCAAAGTAAGGCAAAGTAAGTCCGACAGACACTGACATCTCAACAAACTAGAATATATAATTAAGTATTGTTTTCGTGACTATCAGTAAATCAGTAATATGAGATGTATTCACCCTATTTCGTATAAGGTGACGAAGGACTGGTGTAAAAAGAATTTTCCCACAATGACATGAGTTGAGCTGACGTTTCCATTGCATTTTACATAACCGAAAACATGAAAAAAATACACTCTTTGACAAGGAGAAACACCAGATTAAGCCAAATTTTAGCAAGCACTCTTAGTCTGCAGAATTTGTCTAAATTACAGATGATGCCAAGCAGGCTATATGATAGACGGGTTCTTTGACCTTGTTTTCACAACTTGGTCATATTGGCAGGTTGACTAAGAGGAGCGAACCTAGTCCGGAGTCCATTTTATGCATGACAATTTCCTCGAATAGTACAGATGGAGTGGCAGGGGTCTAGTGAATTACTTGAACCAGAGACATAGCAAACGGATCCCACGGGACAAGAGGGAGACTCTAATAAGACCAAAGGAAGGAGGACTGTACAATAAACAGAAAGAATCTGATCAACATTCCCAGAACAAGAATGAAGGGGGGGG